AGCAGGGTCGGTTTCCGCAAATAAAGAGCTGCTCGGCGAGTATGTGCTTGAGCAGCGAGCGGCACAGCGGCCCGTGACGACAGAACTGCTCCAAGTGCGGGCTATGCAATTAGTCTTAGAAAAAGGTCTAATGCGGAGCCAGTTTAAAGCGAGCAGGTGCTGGCTAACTAACTTTATGAAGAGGAAAGGCTTTTCCCTCCGAAGGGGAACATGCATATGCGAAAAGTTTTGCGGTGGAGTACGATGAAAAGCTTCACAGTTTTCAGAGGTTCGCCCTAAACTTGCTGCGCAATAACGGCTACCTGCTTGGGCAAATCGGGAATGCCGATCAGACGCCTCTTTACTTCGGCATGCCTGGCACTACAACCGTCAAGAAGAAGGGGGCGAAGCAAGTTCGCGTGCTGACATCGGTCCATGGTAAAACTACAGTGACGGCAATGCTCTGTTAAACGTCAGTCGGGCACAAGCTTCGCCTGTACCTCATATTTAAATGGAAGACGCTCCCAAAAGAAGTCGTTTTTTCGAATGGTGTGATCGTGTGGGCCAGTGAGAAAAATGGGTTCGCGTTGCAATCGATGTCTTATGTTTTTTTTTTCGTGGTGGAAATCGGATGCGCGTTACAATCGAGGGCGCGGTAGAATCGAGTAAATACGGTAACACGATTGTGCATTTCTTAAAGCTCCTGTGACGGTGTTGAGACGTGTCTTATATAGCGTTAGAATGCGTGTACAGTCGAATGCCGCTATAATGAAGTACACTACAACAAAATTTCCGCCACAACGAATAATTTTTATTCCCCTTATTCTCTGTCATGCCCATAGAAACAATGAGAAAAATGTCTCGTCACAACGAATACTTTCTCTGGTATACTTCCGCTTCAATAAAGATTTCACGAGTACTATCGCATCAGAATAGCCACGAAATTCTACTGACAACTCGGCCATTTCTCATTGGCTCGTGACATCCAGAGCGCGTGGTCTCATCGCTACAACCGTGTCTTCACCTTACTGCCACCACACACACATTGCGGTAAATATTTCGCCATTGAAATGCTTGGCGATAGATCATCCATCTACTATGATGCTGCAGGTGTGATTGATGCACGTGCGGGCTGCAGGAGAATCTCGAGAACTCCCGTCATGATTTTGACATTGCTCTCAAAACAAAGCTACCGTTTGTCGTCACTAGCTTTATGATCATGAATGACATCCACGGCATTATGAATGCGCAAGCTCGGCCAGCACACGGATGTCCTAGCGTCACTACAATGTGCTACAACTGCTGTGAACACAAATGCAGTTGTGTTGGCGCGATCACAGATGACCGCGAAAGCACCGTAGCTTCTCGCATATAACTCACACCTCTAACTTTGAACTTCTCGGAAAAAAAAAAACCCATCCTCACGTGTAGCCTGCATGCTTAGCTTAAAAAAATTGTTTTGGGAAGTAACAACTGCACAGTCACAATGTTGTTAACAAAGGAACTTTATTTACCAGTGATCGCCGCAATGTTGACGGCGCCGATTCTCGTTCTTTCAATCATCGCCCGACTTGCCGCTGTCGCTGCTGCCATCCAAGGCTTTGTCGCCGCTCTCAAAAATGCAGTCATCTTCGATGCCATTCAAGCAATTGCTGATAGTGCACTTCTTGAAGCTCTTGTGCACCATGTTGGCCAGAATCACCCCCTATGCATCCACGATCCACTGGCACAGCAGCGCAATTTCGCCATCTCGTCGCATTTCTGCCATGTTCGTTGATACAGCGTGGCTGCGACTCCTCCGCTCTTCAATAAATTTGACAAGCTGCGTCTCAAGAAGGGGTTACGCACCAGTCTCTGGGCCCCGAAGTGCTCTCTTCTCCTTGCGTGCACTTTTAAGAGAGGCCTTTTTTTTTCCCCAGTCACAAATGAAGGACTCGTCGACGTCATGTCTCCTCGCAGCAGCTCTGTTGTCGATTTATTCCGGTGAAGTCATGATCTCGAGTTTTTCTTTTGCGGTAAAAGGTTGCCGTCGAGACGCACTGATGGTGCCTCACCGGACAAGGCTGACCAACGATGCAAACTGGCCACACCCAACTCTAAGACAGACGCTGTCAAATCGCTGTTGTGACGTTATTGGCCAAATCAAACAAAGCATGCAAAATGTGAATAAACACACTGTGTAGGAGATCTGTCTAGCCTGTGTTGGCTTTTGTTAGCTTTGCACTGGACGATGCCAATAGAGATGCGGACTGCATGGCAGGCCGTGCATTGCCGTGAAGCCGACCTCTGCTACAGGGTTATGCGCAGATAACCCGCACCCCCACTTTTCAGGCGATTTTTTTTTTGGTGCTGGTTTTACGCAAGAAAACAAACTATGCGGGCAGTAAGCACGCACCAACTCAACCCAGTACTGCTTGCCACAATGCTGTGGAAAAAGTCGCGTGAATGCAAACAAAGATAGCAGCAGTGCAGTTCTGAAGGCACACGCACTGCCATTGCAACACACACATATTGTAAATAGAACAACCATTTGTTGCAATTGCTGCGCAGAAAATTACAGTCACTATCGTCTCGTTTGATAGCGAATACACTCGGAAAGGGAGCAGCTAGGAGAATTGTCGATTAAAGGCAATAAAGCCGTCAAAAGGCATGAAGCATTATGGCTTTCCTGTCATTCACTTATTGCTGTGATAGGGCTGAGCTTTAGTATTTTCAACTGTAGTTTTTAGTTGGTCTCCAGCAAAGCTTTGGCAAGCTCATTCGGGGTGCTGCGTACTCGGCGTTGCTCCAAGGGTCATCTGATTAGCATGTTTTCTTGTGCGTCCCGCCTATTTCATTGTAGCAAGATTTTACTGTAGTAACAAATTATAGCAAAAGAAATTATAAAGATTGGTTCATGGAGACTGATGTTCATCATAATCATCATCAGCCTAGCCACGCCTACTGCAGCGACAAAGGCTTGTCCCATGTGTCGCCAATCGACCCGGCCCAGTGCTTTCTGCTGCCACAATATACCTGCAAAATTCCTAATCTTATCTGCCCACTTAATTTTCTGTCTTCCCTTCTGCCTTCTTTTGGAGTACCGTCGCTTACTCTTATTGAACAGCGGTTATCTTGCCTACGTGCACTGATGTTATGGATCTACCAAGTTCAAAACTCAGGCTGACGACTGCAAGAAACGTTTCTTTTCGCATTCACTCTCCCGCTGACATCAAAAAGCATTTTCAATCATAAACCACATTTTATAGATATATATAAGAAGACTCGCCCCATAGTACAAGTTTTGCAGTGCCCTTAGCACTGCTTTGTAATTGTTTTCAAGATTTTATATTTGAAAACGAGAATTGTTCTGTATCAGAGAAAGTATAAGTAGTGCTCTTATATTTTTTAGCCCTCAAAAACATGGCCCAGCTCAGGCCACTTAAGTACTAGTATATACATCAAATCAGGCAGTTTCGTCACTCCAACATAATCAAATGTGTTTCCCCTTCTCAAAAGTAGCTGTTGTGTGTCACTGTAATTCCAAAATAATGTGGTTTCTTTGTTGAAATAAAATGATAACATTGTGGTTTTTCACGTTCTCACTTGCTCATTGACATAGGCACATTCCACAGTTCCAAAAGAAGAGATTAAACAGCACGCTTAGTTTCTGTTGCAGGGCCCCTTTGAAAATTACTGTGCATTTTAAACTATTGCCCTAAAGCATTAAGAGCAATCTTAACATGTGTTATGTACTAAGTAGACAGAGCCAAGCCTAGCTACTGCGTAGAAGCAGGTATACTTGAAATAGGGACCTTCGGGCCACTTTATGCGCATACTTTAAAACTCTGCACTTTGCCGATCGTGAAAAGCAGGGTTTTACCAAAGCAGCGTTATATGTGTAACATTTGTTTATTGCTTATTTTTCATTGATGCCTTCTTGAATGTGCGTGCTAGACTGGAAGAAGGCCCTTTGAATTCTTGGAGTCGCATGGCAGTCTTTTTTTTTTTTTTCAATTATTAAATGACAGGTAGTACGCTCACAGCATAATGCAGCTGTGTTGTGGTGAAGTTTACATCAGCAAAGTAGCTCAAATGAAGTTTTCAAGGCTCAATCCAGTAGGTGCTTCTGTATAGCCTAAACTGCCCCTCAGAACAGTGCTGTTTCATCAGCATGCATATTTGAGTGACACAGGTTGTTGAAAGTGTGCTAGGTGAAGTGCGCTTGCAAGGTCTAAGTGTATCACAATTGGATATGAAGGGAAGTTAAATATACATGTATGGTACTCTTGCATCGGTTTTTCAAAGGAATGCAATATAGGCCGTAACTTTGTGTAGTAAAGCTTAATGTATCCAGGTTTGAGTGTACACTCAAACTGCAATATAACATACACGGATATAAGGAAGTGTCAGTTCTGACACAGTAAATGAAAAATAGTCTTGCAATAGATTCAGTGTTTGGAATAACCTTTATGATCAATTTTCTGATATAACTAACTTATTTTCTTGTAAGATGCATCTTTGTTATAATGACGTTTGAGTGTACAGTTAAACCTCTTTACAAGAGGCATGCTCTGAGTAGTACTTCTTGTCTTTTATACAAGATGTGTCTTATAACGTGGGTACCTTGTATGCATTTTCTTATCAACCTGTATTTTACTGTAGGCACACTGGTGTCTCATATAATGGGGTTCAACCGTATTTGATTTGTTTCAAATGTTTGTCTTCTACAAAACATCAAACTTTTAAATACCCATTTGTAAATCTAATACAAATATTAAAGAGTTAAGATATGACAGTTTGAAATTTTCGAACATTCAGGCACGTTATTTATGATTCAGGGCATAGAACTGCGAGCAAAATTTTGACTGATGCTTGGCAAGACAGTTATACCTCAGATGTTGCTGTACATACCTTTTTTAAAGTGCAAACGAAATTATTACAAGACAGATTTGGGCGCTGTTGCTGCAGAAGTTATAACTACTGTGCAGTTGCTGCATGTGCAGATACACAATGTATGGTTACAACTACCACATGTGCAGGTGACGCAAGCAGCATTCTGGCTACTGGGGTGTTCACATCTGCCGAGCTTTACCGGCTCTCCAAAGGTGAGCTTACACACGTTCTGCCTGCTTATCTTGCAAGCACATTACTGGGCCTGTGTGAATATTCGTGCTCACCCAATTGACTGTTATGGTAATCAAGTTCGCTTGAGCACAAGTTCAAAATTTTCTAAACAATGTCTTACTGCAAATGAACGGGTAGATGAGCTTTACCGCATGTAGCTTGCTTGAAAAGCTGGTTTTGCCTCATCATTATGGTGTTATGCTGTTAAAACAAATTATCAGGGAAAGTTCCTGATGGTGTGAAGCCACGCTATATTATTACCACCCGATTATTTTCTTTTTCTAATGTAAAAGCATTTTGTATGGTTTTAGTATGTAAAATTTTAAAACATAACATACTTTACTGCTTAGAATGTGTGCTAATATTATTAAAATCCTGCTACTAGTATTCAAATTTGCTTTGAAATTATTTCATGCTATTTACCATGCACTTGAACTTCGCTCTGAAACAAAAAAAGTGATATGTGCACAAGTCTACGCATCGCCGTCTCATACGATTGCAGCTTACCCTACATGTTAGTTACCATGTTTATTTAATTATAGCGTGACCACAATTGTAACACGATTGGTGACTTTTGATACAATTCAGGAAGAAGTAGTAAAGATAGCAGTACAGTAAAACCTCGTTAATTCAAACTTGGTTATTTTGAAATTCTGCTTAATTTGAAGTACTTCTGCAGTCTTGTATTTTGCAATGTAAGTTTGAGCGGATACTTTGAAGCGGCAATCAGCATAAGTCCGGTTCAATTGAAAACTTTGGTGCAGTGTGCCTATTCCTGCTTTGGCCGCAAATCTGCGGAAATGACAGCCCTTCAAAGCCACTAGGCAATGTACTTTAGCTATACTAATTAGTGGTAGCTGTAGCATTTCTGCCTTAACAGCTTGAAAAATAAAATTATATTAAAAAAGACAGTTTCATCATCATTTAAAATGTGCCCCTGTGAAAAACAAGACATGCTTCACTGCAATACAGAAGCAACATGCGGGCAGCATGTCGCATGCTTCTTGCAATGCCAGAGCATCACGATTTATTATTTTTTTCTGGGAATTTAAAAAAATGAATACAGGACAGTATGGCTAAATACGCAATGTATGCGAACCTCTGAGTGTCGGTTGCTCCAGCAATTCACGCACGTGCTCAACTGGGAGAGTTATTGCCTGCAATGCCTAGTTTGAAAACTCGGGTTCAAAGCTTCAGTGGTGATGTTTTCCAGCGAGAACACTTTGTGAATTTTGTCACACTGTTCATTATTAAATTCTTTGTTATACAAGAAAGAATGGGCGAATGGTCGCATCCTGATGTGCTGACGCAGCGAAAAGCAGGCGACATGCTGCCCGCATGTCACTACTGTGTTGCAGTGAAGGCATGCAATTGACTTGATCACGTTTTTCTTTTTTGTTTTTTTTGCTGTGACAGCAGTTAGGCTGAAGATTCCTCCTTGTTTGTTGCAAAACTGTGACCACGTATTGCTGAAAAACGTGACCCTTGTAGCCACAAACTTGCCGGCACAGCAAACGACCAGCCCTGATTAATTTGAATAATTTCAAGTTTCTTGCATTCCATTATTTGTATGTTTTGTTAATTAAAAAACACTTAATTAGAAGATTTGTCATGGTCACAGTGACTGAATTAATGAGATTGTACTGTACTGTGCTATTTGATTATAATGTAAAGGTCGACTTCAAATTGTGAAAATTTGGTAAGAAACTCGTGTTACATTCGAGCAAATATGGTAGGGCCCAAGCAGGTGTAGTAAGAGGAATTTCGCTCTCGATCTTGGATAATTTTTGGTGTGTACCAACTGCAGATTTGTATTTGATGGATGGTACTGTATGTGTGGATTTTGTGCTGCTGGGCAGACACCTTTCCTGAATAGCAGGATGTTGAACTTCATGATCCGTGCAATGAACAAAGTGAGGGAGGCTTGGCCCAAATTTTATGATGCTGTGCCATTCCATCTCTCTTTTCTTTTGTTTATTTAAACATGTTGGCTGCTATCTCCAGTCCAGGCATGAGCAACACAGTACAGGGAAAGCTTGTTAATTCACACTTCGTTCATTCAGGTTTTGGATAACTCGAAATGGTCACCGCAGTCCCATCTACAATGAATAGGAGACCACCTGGAAAACGACTCGTTAATTTGAAGAGAAATTGCCACCTCTACGGATTATTCAAAGCGTGTGCCTCTTAGTGTCATTGTCGTCAAACACGAGTGGAAGGTCTTATGGCCAAACGTTAGACGGCACAGCCGGTTTTTTCGAGTTTTGATGCTCGGTGTTTCAGGTGGCATCCGAGCAAAGGGCTAGCAAAGTATGGCCTCTGATATCACAGGAGCACTTTCGTTCCGTCACCCTCCCACTATCTCAGCGCCTGGTGCCATTTGTAGTGAGAGGGTGAGGCAGCAGAGTGGCGAAGTAGTCCTAGGCCGCACCCGGCAGCGTCCCTTTGTTCTTTAAGCATGTTGTTTGTTCACGCCATTAACGCCGTCGTATTCATCGTCAAAGTTGCAAGATGCCACGGATAAAGTACTACTGTGCGAAGACTGTAGAGGAGGAGTCTGTCAAGGAGATTTTGCGAGAGGTAGACCAAGGAAAGTTGAGCAAACGTGAAATTGCAAGGAAGCACGGCATACCTACGAGCACGTTCCGAGCACATACATACGGAACAGGACGGTCGTTGAAAACGTCTATGAAGCTGAGGACTCTGACACCAGTCTGGAAAAGCTAAGGACAGCGGAATTCCCAGAACTGGAGTCAGCTTTGAATATCTGGGTTAAAGAAATGAGAGCCCAGAGTTTCACTATGAGCGCCCTTATCATCATGGCTTCCAAGGGATAGTTTCATCGTTTCACGGAGCGGCATAATCATCTTATATTCTGCACGTTACATAGTGAGGCAAAGGTAGTAGACACCGAAATATGCACTACTTATAGAAGCGACACCCTGCAGCAGTACTTGGAGAGCTACTCGCCACAGGGTGTGTTTAACTCTGATGAGACAGCGTTATTTTTCAAGTTGCAGCCAGACAAGATGATCATTTACAAGGGAAACAGCTGTGCTGGTGGCAAGTGCAGCAAAGAGCGTATCAATGTTCTGGTTGCTGCAAATATGACCCATACGACAAAGGTCCCCCTTGTTTTGATTGGCAAAGCTCACAAGCCACGGTGCTTCAAAAACATTCAGTCACTCTTGACAGAGTGTGCCACAAACAAGAAAGCCTGGATGACAGGTGACCTATTCAGGAAGTGGCTATTGAAATTCGACAGTCGCTGTTCTTGTCGTCGACAACTGTTTGGCGCACAAAATCGATGTTGAGCTGAAAGCAACAAAGTTAGTGTTCTTTCCAGCAAAAATGACTGTGGCCCTACAGCCAATGGACCTAGGTATGATAAAAAATGTCAAGTGCTTTTATAGGCATCCCATGCTGGAGAGAATGATTTTGTGCACGAGCAACAGTCAGGACTTTGGCATTACGCTGGTCACTGCCATGCACATGTTGGTGCACGCATGGGAACAGGTGACGGCGACCACAATCCCAAACTGTTTCCGCCACAGTGGATTTGCAGCTGGAAGTGCGCAGGATAGCTGTGATGTTGGGGTGGACGGGGCTGAGTAGCTCATGCCAGTGGCACTGCGTGGCACTCTTCAGGGCATAAGTTTTGCTGATCATGTTGAAGTTGACACCTGTGCATTTGACACCTGGACATTATCGCTCGAGTAGCCGATGTGCAGACTGTTGCTGAAGAGCCAGGTGAGGAAGACAAAGATGACCAAGTGCCCATCAGCTTCTGAGATGTTGGAGGCACTTAATGTGACGCATCTCTTGTTCAGCTTTGAAAAGTTGTGAACGAGATTCTCTGTGCCACATCTGCGCGCTGGTACAGAGAGCCACGGCTGTGGCATTCAGAGATAAAAAGATATATTTATTGGCCAAGAAGTGGGTCATTACCGACTTTCTTGTCCAATAAATATTTTTTGTGCATACATCCCCGAAATCCACCCATTTTTGCTGACTTTCAATATTACAAATTTTATTTACTTCGAAATTGCACAGCGTCCCTATGGAATTTGAATTAACCAGATTTTACTGTATATAAATGCTCAGGCAGCTTGGTGTGCCTTCAGCATAACTTGAAGCATAACTTTCATCGAAATTTTCAGCATAAAGACCGGTGTGAGTAATTACTTGATATCACTGTGTGATGTCGCTACTAATCTGGGCTCTAATAATAATCTTGGCTCTGACGTAAGTGTTTGGTTACAATATTTATTCTATTATAACAGGACCAAAATTGTAACGCATGAAGTGACTTTCTATAGTCGGATACAGCTTTGGAAGTCAGCGGCATTTCCCTCTTTAAAGGCGGATTCAAACAAGCCAATGGGCGTGCACTGCAGATTGACGTCATGAGTCAGATGACCAGTGACCCTGCCTTCATAGGTCATTGCTGAGTGCACGGCGTGGGACGATTTCGTTTCTCGCGGAGAAGATCAGCTGTCGCACTTCAGTTGTCTGAGCTGGGTCTCTGCTGACTTTTTAATTAAGTTATATTCAACAATAGAATGAAAAAAGAGAACAGAAAAATTTGAAAATTCTGTGCGTTATTGCGCTTTTTTTAGACAATTTACATTTTGATGCTCGATTGTAATGCGCCGGTCAATATGAGGTTGCGAAAGTCAAGAAAAGCTCGCATTACATTCGAGGGAATAGAATGAAAATTGCGGTAATATGACAAGAAGAGGATGTAAATAAAAGATTGTTGATTAATTAATCTAAATTATTACATATCAATCCATGAACACTGCAGATACACTGCACAGTACAAGCAGTGACGTGCAACTGTTGTGCGTACGAGAGAGTGTGTGTTTGCTGATCACACGAGCAGGCTTTGGGTGTCTTGCTTGTGCTGGCATGCTACTGTCTAGCTGAGCTATGTATATAGCACATTTCCGCGCTCAGAACCTGCACGTTAAATGCAGGAAATTGGGAGGCAGTGTTCAAGTTTTGGTTGTACAAGCACTTGGATCTGCTAATTGAAGCAATTCAAGCAAGATGGAAGTGATAGTGAAAGCTGAAACTGACAGCAGATGGGGACAGTGTAATGACACTGGCAAAGGAAACAGAGTGAAAGCAAAGATTTTGCATTTCTTCAGATAGTTTCTGAAGTCATTTTTATCAAAGTGTGTAATAAATTGACATGGTTTAATTGCACAGCGGTAGGTTGGGATGTTGAAAAAGTTCTTTCAAGGATTTTAGATAGCAGACTGAGCTATATACAGCGGTATGTTACACTTTAGAAAATATGGTGCTCATTCTTTTGCGAGAGCTGCAAGTGACACAAACATTTAGTGAAAACTCCGTAAACAGGGGTTGTGTCGAGCCGACATTTCGACCAGCAGACGTGTCTTCCTCAAGGCTAGAACAGAACTCCAAGTTCTGTTCTAGCCTTGAGAAAGACGAGCCGGCTGGACTCAACCTCTGTTTAAGAATTTTTCATCGCAAGCTTCCATCTTCCTCTTCATACCATTTTTTTTATAAAACCTATAGTGTCACGTCACAGTGACACTAAAAGCTACTTGTTTCTTTTCATATATGATTATCTTCGATGTGAGGTAGGTGTTCAAAGGGACCAACAACTGTTTTTTTACCCAGTTTTTTTCGGCGTGACAGAAGGCTCACCCTTCGTAGTGTTCGTAGCTGCAGTAGTTATTCCCAAAAGCACATCGTCATTTATAAGGAGTATTTACGATCTGAAAGCCTTTGAACATGGATCTGCCCTTTCAACCAGCAACGCTGAAAATTGACAGTGATGGCGGTAGCCTTTCTGGTGACTTGTGCATGCTGTCGTCATTCTTATTTGAGAATGGTTCCTGTAACTATGCTTACCCTCATTTATCCTGCACTTTAGAACTATTTTTGAAAATAAGCCGTGATAACGAGATGATGTGGCTCTATGCAGCTTCCCTGCGTTTGTACCGTGGTGCGTGCACGTGCGCCCAAGGTTGTTCTTTGTCGTCGATGGCTTGTCCTGTCTTCATTACTCTCTCGCCACGTGAGCCAAGCCAAGTAATCGAAAACGCAACTGCACATATGTACGGCCGTGCCGATTAGCAGCGCAGCAACGATAGTAGCAACGATACTGGTGCTAGTGGCGCTGGTTGTTTTTGGACAAACTATCATGTGTTGGTGCACAAAATCAATAGATATAAACTGTACACATTTGCAAGAGCAGGCAGAAAGCTGAAGCTGCTCAAGGCGCGCGAACAAGCACCGGATCATTATGTCACGCGAAGGCAGTGTCACTTTCATGCATACTACCAACGCAAGCTGATGCATATATAAAGAAATAAACAATATTTCAGTACTAATGAGTAAATTGTTGACTGTGTAAATCAACGCAATATTACGTGACAGGGTATTTCGTATAGTTCATGTTTTTGCCATCAGGAACACCACAGGGCATTTTTCACGATTTTCAATGAAGGAATAAAAATATAAATCCACTTCTCACGAGAAAAACGGGGTTAGTTTGAGTCGCTATAAGGGACACTCTTTCCATTCATGCAGTCATCTCATTTCATGTTCTGGGCAGTTGCTAGTCCCTTTAATGGTGGAGATGGAAGCACGAAGAGTCAGGAAAACTAAAACAATGAAGAATAGAGCACTAAGCAAGTTGGTATTCTGTTGTGAATGGCATTCGTGCAGAAAGAACAGGGACAAGAAGAGAGAAACGGCGAGACAAGTGCATGCTAATAACTGAAAGTTCTTTGATAGAAATACACAATTATATACAAAACATGTGAATACATGTACGTGGTTAAGGTTGAAAATTGGTGGTCAGATGATCAACCTCAAGTCTTTCTCTCCATTTACACAAAGAAAAAAAAACATTAAAGAAATTTTCTAGTGAGATTACCATTTTCAGAAATAAAGTTTTTATTCTTATCATTCATTATCATTCTCGGCAGCTTATGAATCGGATGGTTTTTCTTGTAAATACAGTGGAACGTCGATTATACATGCCCCAGTTTCACGAAGACCCGCATTTCACGACGATCATTTTGGTCCTGGAAAAATCCCCATGGAAGTAGCGTTTTAACCTTCACTATACAAAGCAGTTTTACACCGACCCCACATCTTACGACGACCTTCAGATTCCACGCGAAAGAAAAAAAATCACCTTTACTCGAATGAAACGTAGACGAAACATTTACGAGTGCAAAATATAAACTTAGATTGAAGTCTAGGCTGATGATTGGAAGAGCAGGCAGTGAGACAGGATGTCCTCATTGAATAAAAAATTTACTCTCCTGAAAGTTCATGCGCTTGTACATACGCCTCGATCGCATGCGTATGTATTAGGGATCATCACTTAGCCAAGCTTTATCCACACAGAGTAGCTTCAGCCGGCCAAAAAGCTCTTGTTTTCACAATTAAAACAGAAGTATGATCGAAACGAAAAGACAGAGTAGCATATGCTTTGCTGTCTCATTACTTCCAGCAGACTTCATTCTGAGTGTGCACCTACCCTTCCATTTTCTTGGACATGCAAAATAAAAACTTGTTAATTGCTCTTCATCACAAGATCTTTGGATACTTTCCATTACAGCCATTGATTGGATGTAGTCTGAATGTAACTAATGCACACCTCAACATTTAATAAACACAATTAATGTGCCAATAAACCCCATTTCACAGTAGGTATTGTATCCAAACAATACATGAAGTTGGGAGGAGGGGAGAAGTCTGAAGTTGGGAGGAGCGGGAGGGGAGATGGAGGCTTTCATCACTGAAAAATCTCTGAACAGTTCTTGAGCAGGAGATGTCTCTCAGTCTATTGTTTTGACAAGTGGATTTGTCTTCATCAGGGCTTCAACTGCTTTTATGACTCAGGTAAGTCCACTGGTCAGAATTTTGGCTTTGGCAACATTCTCTGCTCAACGATTGTTCAGCAACTTTTTGTCAGCATGCATTGTAGCCTCACAAGAGGTGCCTCTATTTTAGTTTCCGCTAGAAGCAGGCAGTTTGTGACCCTGGGCACTTGTTAGATGAGTGCGAGAGTTTTGCCAGTGTTTCCTGAACTGGTGTGCTGGTGGTTTGTTTTAAAACTGCGAAACAGCTCCTGATCTCGCGAGCTGGCATTGATTGCATTGCCCATCAGGTGTTCTCCGCATTTCGCACGAAATGCCTGTTAACATCGAGCACCTCCAAGGCCAGTGAATGGCCGACCGAGGTGTGGACTGTCTTGCCGCTTCCCATAGGCCGCGACCCGGGGGCAATGACGAATGGGTGCCCATTGTTCTTTGCAGCGCGGTGTCTCTCTGAAATGAAGGAAGATTTCCTGGAGCGACAAACAATGGCCTTTGTCTTTGACAGCTCCAGGAGCAGTGGTAAGGGAAGGCTTTCGATAGGACGAGAAGTCCTCTCCTCTCTGTCTCTCTCTACCCCCCCGTGTCTCAGTGCACGGATACACCCCCCCATCTTCTCCCTCCTTCAGTCACAATACCTTCGCATGGATATATGGCACCTCTCATCAATGCCCGAGGGTCAGAGGACTTTTTTTTTGTCTGTGTTCTTTACACCTGCCAGCCTCTTTTAATTTCATTTTGTTTCGTTTCTTGTGGTTGGTGAGATGGGCAGACGGGCACTTCTAGTTTGCCATCATCTGCAACTGAAAGACAGACATCTATTGTGGCACTTGTTGCAACCCAATTGGCCAGTTTGTTGTCATTTTTTTTTTGCGAGGCCTGCTTTTGCAGTGCAAAGGTGTTGAGCACGGTTTGGAGCTTGTTTTTATTTGTTACTTTTTTTGTGGCGGTGGTTGTGCGGTGCTCTGATGTTCCAACATGCATGGTCTGGTTGTGTGGTGTTGGGAACATTAATATTCGGTTGGCGAGGTTTTTTGATCGTCTCTCTGGCTATACTTCTCCACCGTACAAAACGTTTCGCCTCTGCAAGAGTTCGTCCTAAAAAACGGCTGACCAATCTTGTGGCGAACTTTTGCATTGCCGTCACATCTGGCTCCTGAAGATGCTTGCATTAGTTCCATCATGATTCGCAGATGGCTCAGTTGACTGGTCTGAAAGGGACACAGAAAAAGACTTGCTAGCCATCCCTGAGCTGCTGCTAGAGCTTTATCTAAATATGATGCGCTTGGCATGCGTTCATAACAATTAGCTTTAGTAATGAACAAAACAAATAGCAGAAAGGAATATGCATACCTTTATCTATAAATCATATCAACCAGTTCCAGAAAACAAGGTCTAGACCAAGAGTGCTGCATAAGTGGGCTGAAAATGGCTCTTCTTGTACTCTAATAGTGATTGAAAAATTAAGTGTCTCATATAGATAAACTGATATATCTACCTTGCTGAAAAACAAGTTTTTCTGTTGGTGTTGCTGATGCCAATGTGAATTGGTATCTTTGCTTGAAAAACTGCTTTTTTGACCTTTCATTGTGGTCTCGAAATATCTCAGATCTGTAGCTTATGAAAAGAACGATTAATGAATTATCTGTCTCTTGATTTCAACAGTTGCAATTCATGCCAGTTGTGGCCAGTTGCATGTATACACTATAGGCTTTACTTATTTTGACTCAAATAACTGGCCTCTGACTTTTTTTTTTCATTATTATTATCAATTTGATTCTCACCGTATGTCTTCTCTTGACCACCATTTACGGGAAGTTCAAACCATGATTTCAGAGGTGCCCACTTATGGCAATGAGAAAACCTGGTGGGTAGAAGAGTAGGTTGTTATTCCTGCTTTAATATTTTTTCTGTCTGTGGTGTCTACTATGGACATACACTTACCATATTCTTGTTGCATCCTACACTCACCGATTGCGCTTAATTCAAACTTGGCGTATGAAAAACCTGAGGAGCACTGCTTGTTTTTGCTGCATTCCTTATTCACATCGCATGTTGAGTAGCCTGCAGAATGTTGCAAGTCGTCGCTTCACGTACAGGTTCCGTTCTTCAAGCATCGAACGGGGGCCAGCCAGTCAAACTGGAGCCACCGTACTACGGCTACGCATCGCCTCCGGATCCGACCCCAGCTTTGCAGCCAACTTCTGTGGGGGTGGGGCTACTGCGTGCGGCCAGCCCAAGTGATGGTGCTCCACCACGCTGCAAGCGGCTGCGGAGGCTGCCCTCTGCCGAGGAGGATGCGGCCACGGCCGGAGGAGGAGCCGGACACTTCTACACCGGCCCGTGGCCTGACGTTGATCACGGTGAGCAACTGTTTTAGCTTGACCTTGCTTCTGCATTGTTGCGGGACCTGAGAATGTAAACCTTTTGATGAAGGAATAGCATTGCATGAGCATTCTCATGGGTGTTTCAAGTTGGAGAAAGGTTGAGCGTGCTCTTTTCTAAAGTAAAGGGATGATAACACATAGTCAAAACATAGTAGCAGTGCACACTTGTTGACATTGCACGAATGAGATATCGATTCCCGCTGTAAAATGCCATACTGACGAAGAAAGAACCATAGAGACAAACATACAGGGCTACCAATTAGCGATAACATCCAGATTTTTTGCATTTCGAAATGGTGATTTGAGTACTCCTCCGCATATTGGCAAACTTTGTTTGGGTAGGTAAGAGCTCGCACAAGGAAACCAAACTCTAGTTAGAAGATCACCAACTAGAAATGCCAGTTGGGCAAGGAAATAGAAGTGTTGGTTGTTTTTTTTATGCATAAAATACATCCTGCATCTCTGTCATCTCTTACATATGCGGCATATCGCACCATCTCAAGTCAACAAAATGGACATACGGGTGGTTCTTTCAGCACCGTATAAACTTTTGAAGCTTTGCAAGACTAGCTACACAATGGGTTGCTTTTCATGTACCACAAAGCATAGGAGCCCAGTATGAATACTACCAGAGTCACCCTAAGAAATGCCGCAAGTGCATTCTGTCTGCACGCTTGTGAGGCTAGCTTTTAGGTAAAACAGATGGTTTGATCACAGCAGGCTACCCTCAGCACTTCACTATCTGAAGGTCTGTTAGAGTGGACCGCATAGTCCTTATGTTGCCTTAGGACAGTGGCACTTTTGAAATAAGGATGTTAACCGTACTCATGTGTATGAAGGGCAAGAAAGCTGTAATGTGGTGACCTATTAACATTACTAATAATTAGATGGAGAGACAAAGTTGCACTTCCTTCATTAACGAGCAGTATAGACAGTTGTGGCAAAGGTGCCAGCAGTGGTGAAACAAGTTTGACCATTTTTTACAAGTGTGAAGCAGAATTTTCTATTTCCTGCTGCTTCTACAGTGTAAAAAAGGCCTTGGAGATTGATATTGAAGTGTGAGTCCGTGTGGCATTCAGGTCAACTTTGCTTTTTGTAATATTTGTATTGGTAATCAGGTATTGCAGCATCATAAAAAAGATGACACCTATGAAGTATGGAATACAAGAAACAACTACCAAAGTAACTGTCAAATTTTGCTTGCTAATAATAGTTAGTGTTTCATTAATTATTAAACTTGAAGAAAACATATCACGACCGATTGCAAGCTATTTTAATGCAGTGATGCCAGCCTAACTCTTACTGTTAGCTACTTTTTTCATTTTGAGTTCACAGAACCATTGCTGCTATGTCTTTGTATAATGGCCAGGTTCTCCCTTTAGAAACATTTTGCACCTACGCTATTACATTATCGGTTCTATGTATAACCAGACAGAGCACAAATGCGGGTCCATCACCACTCTCCTCGGTAATTGCACTGTGTAGATTGTGCACGCGCCAGTTTATCAGCAACTAACTTCATTAGAAAAGCATGTTTTGGGTTTAAGGGGAGATGCTACTCGAAAAAGGTTTTTTTTTATTTCATAACCCAGCTCCTTGAAATTTTAGGTGTTAGTAAAGCTTGCAGTGCTGATTTCATAACTGCAATTATTTGTTTGATAGCTATAGTAGTTCCGGAGTTACTACAACTTTGATATCAAAATATAGTGTTTTTTGTGCACATAATAAAGCTTACTAAAAATTTTGACACAGAATTGCAAAATGGCTCATTCTGCTGCACTTGAGCAGTACAATACAGAAAAGTACCTCAAACAGAAAATTTATTTGCTACATTAAAAAAAAAAAATTAAAAGTACTAAATGCATATTTTACATCTCTCTATCAGTGTATCAAGTTGTGTAACAAAAAATCTGTGATGTATAATGCAACCTAAAGTAGATACTTGTATTCTAGAGTGGCTGATTAAGCTCTGTGCAAAATTTCATCAAGATAGGACTATTTTATGCCTAAAAAAGATTGTGCACAAGATGAGAGAATTACCTCAATATGGAAATCGAGAAAAATGCATTTGAAAGTTGTAAATATGTTTACTCATGATTACACAGTGCGATTTGCACAAAACTTGGTGATATCATAGAAGGGACACAGCTAGAGCACCTAAAATTGTCCTGCTCCATATGTGGATCCTTCTCGCCGCTTGAGAAGGGAGTCATCAAGGCGCGCTTTCTTTGCCACGTTCCGCCGATGGGCCCTTGCCTCGGCTGTTTCACACGCAGACATTCTTTCGATTCTCCTCTGGTCGCGGGATTGGCCCAGGGTGATCAGTTGATCTGGTGGGACTACACCAAGCTCCTCTAGCACGTGTTCAAAGCTTGAATGTCCTTTATTGAACCACAACACGGCCATAGCAGCTGCAGTTTCCACTGTTGTCCGGGAGGCAAACTTAGTCTTCGGACACAACAACCAGATTTTGCTGTTCAAAGATTCTGCAGCGTTTTGGGTCTTCCCTTGGATACAACGCACCAGCAACTTTTCATCTGTGAGCCGCTTGTAAATGGGAAGCACAGCCAATCCTTGAGCCTTGGTCAAGATTGGTGTGTGGTCAGGTGGGGCCTCCCCAAGCGCTTCAGCTCGCCTATGCTTGCACCAGGAAGTCGCCCCTTCTGGACAGTATCGGTGGCTGCCTGCTGTGTTGCTCGATGATGAATGGAAATATGAGGCCCAGATGGCACGATGCATTTTCAGAATATCACCTCTGTTGTTTGTGATTGCAATACGGTAATAGTTCTGCAGCTTCTGAATTGTGCCATCTGTCAGCTTTTCCCCTCGTGGAAGTCTTGTTGGCAGTTTCCGAAGTGCAGTGCCTAGACGCTTGGCCACATGGTTTGTGCACTCCTCCTTGTCCACAACAGCTTCACCATATACCTTGGCCTCAGCGACAGCGGTATAAGCTTTGCTGTCCCCATCACTGAGGAACTTGGTGAAGCGCAATGGTGTTGTGTATGAGGATGTCCTGCCCCATATGCGCAAAGCTGCCTCAGTCTCCATGGCATGAGAGGAGCACTCTGTATTTTTTTCGCAGACAGGTGTGTGGAATGCTTGCCATATTTCTTCCTCATCACCCAAGTCCTGGTGCCGGCTACAGGCAAGGCAGTAATTCGATAGCACTTCAAAATCTAGGCACAAACCAGCGTCCACAGACACAGCAGTGCCGATGCCATTGTGGCTCTTGTGCCCTCTTTTTTGCCATGTGCCATCATACATGACAGCAACATCAGCCCCATCCACTTTCTCTTTAGTTATCATCCGCGCTTTCGCCAGGTTTTCTTGCACAGCTTTGGTAGCTGCGGCATGAACTTTTTTGCCAATTGCAATAAAAGTCTTACGATGCATAGGTATTGGCAGTCCAAGAATAGCGCAAAAACGCGACAGCTGTTCATGCCCAATGCCTATTGCACGCGCAGCCACAACTACCTTCACATTGACAGCGAAGCTGTCACGCGAGCTGCCGCTTCGGTAGCTCCAGTCATCACCGGCATCGGTGGGCTGTCTTTCCGGCAGAACACGCCGCGAACTATGCGCGGCAGAAACCACTGACTCAGGACACTCACTGTTATCACAGTGCAGCTCGAGGAACGAAGAGAGGCCCTTACGTTTACTTGCGGTGTCGCGAACGACGAGTCCAGCGGTGTGGCATGTTGGACAAACAGCACGGCTTACCATCGATGTCAGTGCGCCGATGTCACAAAATACTCCGCTCACAGAGCCACAAACACTCTTCGTTCTTTCGCTTTCGAACTGTTCAATCTTTTTTTCTGATGCGCTGATGAACTTGATCGCGGCGTCGATTTCGTCAAAGTTCCCGCAAGCCGCCGTATCCCCGCTGCCTTGATTAGGCCTAGTGGCCCGCGGCTCGCATTCTTCTACCGCTGCTTTGCGCTTCGGTTTACGTCGACGCCCTTGGTACTTGTTCTTGCTTGCAAACTTTCGTGCTCGGAAGTCTCGCTTCTTCGAGTTATCCATGGTGAACTCGGAAAAACGTAGAAACGCACGGCAAGTGCCGATCGTCGCAAGCGCTCAGCGAGCGAGGCCGATCAGATGTAGCCAATGGCGGCCTCGGTAGCGTACCATGTGACCGGTAGAGATGCGCGAAGCGGCTGCAGCTTGGCTGCAAACCGACTTGGAAACGACTGTTTTGTGAAATTCCTCACTAAAATACGAAACTAGGGGGACGCCTGTACACTAGAAGGAGCTTTGATCTACACCACCGAACAAACCCCGATGGCGGACGTCATCGTGTTGCCGAGTGGCGGATTTTCAAAAATAGCCGTCGGATGCGTGAATTCGCGACTTCGGCAGCTACCTTCACTAGCGCAGATCGACTTTTTACCACTTTCTCGTTTGAATTCAGCCATGACCTTTGGGGAAATGATAGTTGAATGATCAAAAGTGATTTTAGAAGCAATATTTCAAAAGTGGAAATTTTCGCAAAAAACGCGATTTTTCGACCCGCATCTCCCCTTAACAATTACAACCTGTCCTTACTTACAACACAACTAGTGCATGTGGTATCAAAGGGAAAGCTATAGTGTTGCTGCCCTCCATATTTCACAGGTGAGTGGATATTGGATTCTCTGGCTTGATCCTTGTGCATTTTCTGGTTTTGCTGTGTCACTTTTAGTATATTTGTGTTATTTTATTGTGGGTTTGACAACCTTAAAGTCAATATTAGCACTTGGGGCACTGAAATTCGTGTAATGTGTCTTTGAGATAGCAATTACTATGTTAAAGGGACCCTGCAACACTTCTTGAGCTTGGTCTGAAAATGCTGCCGATCCGTAGTCAAGGCTCCCGAGAACACACCAGCCAAATAATGTAGTGCAGCTCATGGCCTAGAATTCACAATAAATTCTTAAAGTCAACTTAAAATCTTTTCTCTTCTCACGAAAAATGACGTTACAAGTTAATAAATCACTCGTCACAGCCATTTTATCAGCCAATCATCAGCTCAAATGCCATTGTATCGTCAGCTCAAATCGGCCATTGGCTGATTTGAGCAGGGCACGCTCTGTCATTGCAGGGGCTGCTGCGAATGGCCGCAACTTTTTCACACATGCACGCGCGATCATACTGAAAAGTCGCATATTCGCCCTCGCCTCTGTGTCCATTTGTAAACCTGTAGCAGGGTCTTTCATCCAGTGGCCGTGCCTTCAGCGTCGGCGTTTTCAACAAAAAGAAAGAAAAGAAAGACGCCTTTTAGTTTTTTTTCTCCACACCGTCGTGCGTCTTCTGAGAAGCAAGGCGTCCGTTCGCTTTGTCGTCTGCTTGGGTACTGGTCCGGTGGTCGCGACAGATTTCAGAACACAAGTTCTGAGTACTGAGTCGTTGTTAATATAACGTGGAACTAAATTAACACTCGTTATTCTGTAAAGTTCGGTATTCTGAAATACGTGGTAGTGAAATAATTTTACATTGAAACTATTAGCACTTGGTGCAAGATTTTTTAAAAGTTCGTTAATCTGGAAAGTTTGTTATTGTGGGGTTCGTTCTACCGAGATTTCACTGTACTCTCTTCTTACTCTAGCAACTATATAGACCCTCTCGGCTGATTTTCGCCATCACCGTCACTCTCATGTCCTATATATATATATATATATATATATATATATATATATATATATATAAAAGGCACAGAGTAAAGTATATCAGGAAAAAGTTCCGAGAGATACACCAGAGATTCGAACCAGCGACACCTCGCACCTCAGCGCAATGCATTAACCAACCAACGAACGCTGTGCAACCAACGAATTACACTACTTTTTGATCAGCTGTGCATGAAAAAGAATTGAATTGTTGGAATGCGGCCAAAAAATGAGCAATCTGTGTCAGAATAAATGCACTTTGCAGGCTTCAGCCCGGCGCAGCGTTCAATATGCAGTCGTCGACCGATTTTTCGGACCTGGTGGGGACCAAAAAAAAAAAAGTCCGAAAAATTGAACAGCCCGGAAATTTAGTTTTTGTAAGAAATTTTAATCTAATTGCATCAGGCAGGCTTAAAAAAGTCAATGATTCTGCCTTGCCTCATACTACGCTTGGAAGCAATTTGGTTTGCCCATATTTTCGCTAAGGTGACATCGTCACTGTAAAGACTCTACAAAAGCGTCACCGCGGTGGGGATCTCCGCTGCCGACAGCTGCGGGCAATCATCGTCGTCATCATCCGAACCGCTCTCCAGCTGCGGCACAACTTGGCAAAGAATTCCTTCGTCTGCAGGCTTTGCGCACGAAATTGTCATCAATCGCACGAGCGGAGTCTTTAGGGAGATTTAGAATAACGTTTGCGGGCATTGCGAGTATAGCGGACGCATTATGAGTTCTAGAATAGTGTTTGCTCCCCCTAGGAAAAGGTCTAGGGACATTCGTCCCGACCGCTAACTCAAATGCACAGAAGCTACACACAACAATTCGCGAGCTTCGTGGGCTGCGAACGGCGACTCGCATTACGCCGCATGCGCAGTAGCAGCGACCGCACCACAAGGGCTCGCGGTGCGCTATTCTAAAAATTCCTAACATCATTGTGGCAGGCACATTCGCTCCACTACTGCGCAGCTCGGCGTCCTCCCAGTATGGTGCGATGACTACAATGCTGACCACTACGGCTGACCAAAGACGAAAAATGGTGGTCCCGTACCGGGTTTTCTAAAGCAGACACAGAGTTTTGAAGTCTGAAATATCCAAGTTTGAATTTTCGGAGTCCGAAAAATCGGTCGGCGACTGTATCAGATTTTCTGCCCTGCAGAAGTTCGATATACATGTAAAACAGTCCCATACTTTTGCATGGGAAATTCAAGGAGAAATTCAAGCTTTTGCGATTAGCCGATTAGTTTTGGCAACACGACGGCGTGTTTAATGCAATGCAATAATCCCTATAGCTAAAAATTGTAATGTTATAAGAAGTAAGACTGGCAGCCAACTCTTTTGGATCCGACATCGTGGAACTCCTAAAAAAAAAAAAAAAAAAAACGCTGGTGTGGCCGTTCCAGGGAGAAGTGCTCTTTTCACACCGTCCCTTCGCCTTGAAACCGCACTGATACTTGTCATGATAGCAGCAAGCAAGGGTGACCGCCCTTAATATTCAAGTTTATTATTGCTACTCAAACGATTCCTCCCCCCCTCCCTCCCCACGTCGTTTCATGCTTGTTCAAGGCGGGTGGTTTACTTTTTGTTTGAGCATTCGACGCCATTTCTAACAACACGCGGGAGATGTTAACTTTTCACGCGGTAGGGATGGGCTGACTTATTTGATCTCTGTTTCAGCAGCGCTCGCGCGCTTTCACCCGCCTGCCCGTGAAAGTTACGATGCGCGGGGGCATATATATTATCAATTTGGACTTGTTACAAAACATGGGGGCGACGACAAAAACCCGCCGCGAGTGTCCATATAACTGGTACTCTAACAATAACGCAGCTTTTTGCTGTAAAGTATGTGTTTTGGCTTAGCTCTGCCTTCAGTCCCCCTTTTGTTTATATTTCCGCGTTTATTTTCCAAATTTTCGTACCGGAAACGCATATAACGAAATCCTCTTTATAACGAACTTTACCGGGAATTCATTAATTTCGTTATATCCAGGTTTAACTGTATACAGACCTACACATTTTTGGCACATTTTCTTTTACCAGCAGCTGTGAAGCCTATTTTCAACACACAGTGACACCAAGCGGCGATCAATACACAGGGAAGGCCCCATGATGGAACAGTGGCTAAGGTGCTCATCTACTAACTGTGGTCGTTACATTTCGGTGGAGAAGTAATAGTAGAAGCTTGTGTACTGTGAAATGTCGGCACATCTTGAAATACACCGAATGGTCAAAATTTTTGGAGCTCTTCAATATGGTGTCTCATAGCCATATTGTTGTTTAGATATGTAAAACCCTAGATATTATTATTAATATTATCATGATACATGGGGATATTTACTAAGTGCTTTTACAGCAGCGAGCTCGCCAGCTGAACACACAACTAGTAACATAGTCCATGGTTCGATGGGACACCGTCTGGCGAGGGGCATACATTCCTCGCAAATTAACGATCACTCTTTACAACTTTGGCAAGTGATCGTTTATTTGTAAGAAATAACTAGTAACATGCTAAATAACCACACAATGTTAGTACAATACACAGATAACATAACACATACAATTTACTGTGAATTAGGTGTTGCTGATGTCCGATTCACCATGAGGAACCGACGGGAGACAAGCTGTTATCATAGGCCTCCCATGAAAGGCGTCCATCCGCGGTCTCGGCAAGCCCCAAAAGAGAAAAACAGGTCCTCCCCAAGGACCCAGATAACCTCGCTTGTGCCAGCCAGTGCTTGCTGGTGCTATTACATGATTGCAGCACTATGTCTCACTCGGCAAAGAAACTAACCGTGCTAAGATAATGGTCGCTATGAGGTGAAAACGACATTACGGGGGGTGACGGCGCCCCCAAAGTTGCTTGAAGAAACAGTTTCAGGCCATGTGGGCTGTGATGTGATTTAGCTGTCCATATGGCCAGTAAAGTATTCATTGTGATAGCAATCATATGGACACTCTGAATGGGTTTTCATTGTCTTCGTTAGCATCATGCTCTGTATTCAGTCTACATCGATAACATCACCCCTTGTCCTTCCTTCAAGTAAAAGCATGCGAGTGCTGGTGATGAATGCAAATGAAGCAGAGATGGAATGAGCCTGCCATTTCGGTCACACAGACGGTGCATGCGATCACATCACTCCACATGCAAGGCTCAATAGCTCCTCAAACGAAGAAGAAAGGCCCTGCACATTTTGAAAGAGCGTGATGGGATGGTGCCAGAGCGGGCATAAGACTATGCTGCTCAAGCAGCAACTGTGACTAAAGCCATGGTCACGAGCGCTGGTGTGTGTGCCATATTGGCAGACATCAGCAAAGTGCTCCTATACCTTTCCACATACCATGCTCTCACCGCTTCGCATCAAGGGGACTAACTGCACAACTACTGCTTTGCCCCCCTGGAGCGGCTGTATTTCCTTAAAAGCATTTTGTGGAGCTACATGACACTACATCCAAAAGAGTTAGCTGCAAGCCCTGCATCATATAATGTTGCAATTAGTTTATTTGTACTTTCAATGAACGGTTGTTTTTCACCATTATCAGCTGGTGTCTTTCCTTAACAGACGAGTAGAGACAAAAGGATTGGGCCGTTTATTTTGTTTGTTTATTTCTCATTTGCTTGCTTGCCTGTTGCTTTGGTTTTGGCTTGCCATTTTGGAGGCACCTTTGATCCGAGGGTGAGTGGGTAAAGGGAGACTTTGTCGCTGTCTGGTGCGGTGAGTGTTGTCTTGTACTGCTGCTGCATGCGTGTGTGGCCCCGCCTGTCATCATCCACAGGACCCCTGAGCTCGCCGCATGCCAAAATAAAGATGGAAGCCTTCGCCCTGGCCCGAGCCGAACCCAAGCCTACGCACCCAAGTGAGTACCAGAACAGTGTGGTAGGTGTGTTTTTATTAGTAGGCATTTTTTATATTCAATGATAGTGTGCTGGGTGCTGTATCGCCCCATGCGATGAAGCAAGACGCCAGCATCGGGTTGCTGGAGAACGAACACTGCCTTTAATCGAGTGTGCTTATATACATGTGAGAAGCAAGGGTGACAGCCTGCGCAAAGCGCGGGCTCACTTCAGATAACACACTCGATACATTCCCCTCTGTTTGAGAGGAGACAACACGTAACTGGAAAGGAACACAAGAAAGTGCAGTTTGCGTAGATTACGTCACTGGTTCATCTGTACGACAGTCCCATCGTTAACACACGTTGCACGTCTGCTTCATGGCACTTGCACAAAGTTTCTGTTGTAAGTTAGATGGCGAGGGGATCTACACTGCCGTAGCGACCTCCGCAGAGCTGGAACAGGTGACGCCGAGGCTGGAGCTCTGGGCACAGTAGGTGCTGTGGGCATTGGCACTGGTGTCGCTTGTGTGAAGCACTTTCATCGTCGCATTTGACAAGCTCTGGAGGATCTTTATGAAATGCTTCTTGAGTGGGTAAAATGTGTTGCCCGTTACGTCGCAGTAGCCTACCTTCCTCTGTGAGGACGTTGTAGGACCGGGGTTGAGCCAACGGCTCTATGACCTTTGCTTTTGTAGTTCATGTCCTGAGCTTCACTCGTACGGCATCTCCTTTCCTTAGAGGAGCCAGTGGCGCTTGTTGGTCTCCATTTGGCGGCGCTTGAAGACCAGGGTTTCGGGCTTTCTTGGTATGCACGGCAATGTCGAGCGCAGGATCCAACCCTGGAGCAGCTCCGCAGGCGATCGGTCGTCGGCTTCCAGCGGTGTAGTCCTGTACGAGAGGAGCCCCAGCCAAACATCTTGTTTAGCTTTCATGCTTTTTTTTAAGATCCTCTTCACTATTTGTACCCCTTTTTTCGCTAGCCCGTTGGACTGTGGGAATCCTGGACTGGAGGTAACATGTCGGAACTCGTATGCTCGTGAAAACGCAGCAAATTCTTTGCTTGCAAACTGTGAGCCATTGTCTGTACAGACCTCCATGGGGATATTATATCTGGCAAAGATAGCCCTGATTGATTCGATGACCGCTTTCGCCGATGTTTCTGTGAGCATATCTACTTCGGGGAAGTTTGAATAGGGGTCGTAGGCGCAGAGGTACGATTTTCAGCCGTAGTGAAAGAGGTCTATACGAACCCTATTCTAGGCTTGGTCTGGCACAAGACGCATTTGAAGTGGCTCTCGTGGCTGGTAGTACGCATACTTTTTGCAAACTGCGCAGGTCTGTACAAATTTGTCAATACCAGAATTCATTCCGGACCAAAATACTGAACGCCGCGCTCTTAATTTGCTCTTATTCAATTCAACTTGTCCTTGGTGAATCTTTTCCAAGATTTCCTTCCCCATGTTTGTTGATATTATAATATTGCAGCCTTTAAGAAGGACGCCTTTGACTTCAGATAGCCCGCCAGCAAATGACTTGAGCTGTCTTTTAATAGGCAGGCCGGCAACAATGCTGTTATGAACAGAGCTTAGATACGGGTCTTTGCTGGTTTCCGTTATAAGCCTGTTCCACATGTAGTCCCTGACAAGTGACGACTCTAAACTTACAGCGTGCACGTCTGCGTCGTCACTCGTGATGTCAGCCCCGTCATCTTTGATTGAAGCCCTTGATAACATGTCCGCGAGACCAGCTGCTTCCCTAGAACGAAGCATAGTTCGATGTCGTAACGCAATAACAGTAGGAAAAACCGCTGCAGCCTGGGTGGGATATCGCCTATTGCTTTTTAGGGGCGAAGCTCCTTAGGGCGTGGGCTGTGTGTCCCCTGTAGCCTGTATGTAGCCACCTCTAGTTTAGTTCTTGCAGTGTTCACTAGATGGCGGTACCGTCCCCTGTATGTAGCCACCTCTAGTTTAGTTCTTGCAGTGTTCACTAGATGGCGGTACCGTCTCCTGTATGTAGCCACCTCTCGTTTAGTTCTTGTAGTGTTTACTAGATGGTGGTACTTGTAGCTGATGATGAAAAGATGCAAGATGTTATAAACTATAAAGCGGTACTTGTAGTTGATGAAAGACGCGAGATCTTATAAAATAGGAATGATGTCACATATGGCGCGTGTCATTGGTTGAAGGCAATCGTTCGATTTAGTGCGGCGACGTACGCTAGGGGGAGCGATGTAATAAAATCGAGTGGGCAAAATGTACAGAGGATTCATGGTTTACCAGGTTTACCTCCGTAGCTTCGCCCACTCATCATCATTCACTTCGTGGATATGGCGGAATTTTTTTATAGATGGCAATCAAGGTGCGATGATCAGTTTTGACTATTACTTTGCGTCCGTATACGAAGTGGTCAAATCGTTCACAGGCGTACAGAATTGCCATTGTCTCTTTTTCTATTTGAGAGTACCGCTGCGCCGTATCCGATAATATCTTTGACACATATGCCACGGGTTTCCAATGGCTGCCATAACGGTGCAAAAGCGCAGCGCCCATTCCATTTTGTGACGCATCACAGGACACTTTAGTTTCTTTTTTCGGATCGAATGTTGCTAGCAGGGGGTGCTTGCTCAAAGTATCGCATAGTTGTTTCTATTCGTGCTCGTGGTTTTCTGACCATTCATAAACCACGTCGTTCTTGATCAAGCTTCTCAGCAGCGTTGTTTTCTCAGTGAGGGACGGCTCGAACTTGGCAAAATAGTTTACAGCACCCAGCATTCGTTGGGCGGCAACCTTATCGGCTGGTGGCGGCATTTCTATCATACCCTTTATTAGGGAAGGGCTGGGCCTGATGCTTTCAGCACCGATAACGTTGCCCAGGAATTGGCTAGTGTGGCTTACATTACATTACATGGCTAGTGTGGCTTACATTAATTACATGGCTAGTGTGTTCGCTCGCATTTCCGACACTTGTAGTCTCTGCACCTGTCAGTTCGTGCCACGTGACTTTGTTTGCACACCGGATCAACCTGCTTCGGGTTCTGACCACAAGCTTCTTGGTGTGCTGCGGATATTTCTGCCGCCTTTAAGTTTTCTCGGCATTTTCCAAGGTAAGCTTGTTGTCTGCTTGCAGCTTCTCTCTTACTTTAGTATCCATAGTTCTGAAGACGATTTGGTCTCTGATCATTGAATCCCTCAATGCACCAAAGTTGCATGCTCGGGCTTGAGTTTTCAAATCTCTCAGAAAATGTTCAAAAGGCTCACCCGGTTCCTGGACCCTCTTCCGGAAGACGTACCGCTCGTAGACTTCATTTTGTTGGGCGTAGCAGTACAGAATTTTTTTACCACCGTAGCGCAGTCAAGGCTGCTTTCGCCCTCTCGCAGAAGTGAAGGGGTTGTAGACCTTAATGGCTTCTTCGCCTGCGATACTCAGAAGAAGGGCACCTCTCGCAGTCTCCGGGCGAGGCTTCTTGACGGTGGTGTCAAACGAGGCCAGAAACAGGTTTAATTTCTGTATGAACAACTTTCAGTTCCTACTGATGTCCCCTGTAAAACGTAGCGGGTCCGGTGGCTTCACAAATTCCATCGCTGCCCTTTCCCAGGCACCCCGGGAGGCCTATTAAAACCGGTGACTAGCCACTTCTGACATCATGTATCGCGCGATGCGATAAAGCAAGACGCCAGCCTCGGGTTGCTGGAGAACGCATACTGCCTTTAATCGAGTGGGCTTATTGTTAAGATTTTGCTGTGTCGCGATGGTAGCGGTGGCGAAGAGCGACGAGCAGTCGAGCGGACTTCGCTGAAGCCTTAGCCCGAAGGCGAAGCAGGGAGACAATCCATTTTGAAAACAGCAACAAAAAGGAGCGTTTACTGTAGCAGGTTGCCGTTTGTACAGAGCCAGCCAGCACGACAACGTCGGCTGGGGCAAAATCCCTCTAACATGGGGCCGGCACGGCCTTAAATAGCCTTTTGGGACTCTTCCGCGAGACCAGTTCCCCAGAACGGCACAGTGGCTCGGCTGAGGAGACGCAGCCATACCTGGAACTGCAAGGTGGTTCGGCGGAAGAAGCGACGTTATCCCCGGAACTGCACGGTTCTTCTGCACGGAAGGCGGAGCTGGGAGGGGGGGGAGACAGTTCGTCGGAACAGCGCTCGATCTCGTGAGACGTGCTCCCGAACGAGGAACATGTCTGTGGCACAACAGCACCCCCGCCGCCAGACAATGCATCCGGAGTTTTGAACCGTCAGCGCGGCTCGGAAGGAGGGATGCTGGTTGATCGTCGGTAGCCGTTCCGCTCTCTCCGCCCGTTGAGACTTCCATAGGCCTGCAGAGGTTCATTGGAACGACGGAGTCGAACACAAAGCCGAACCACTCTGGCCAAAGCAAGCACCCTCCAAATGCTGATCAAATCGCCAGACCAGCAGAAACCAAATGTTTCCTCGAGATTACGCTGGGCTAACAAATAGCATCACGAGCAACGAATCTCGGGAGGAATACACAATGCCGACACTCCTTTACAGTGCATGACACTGCTAAACCAAACAGAATTTTTTTTTTTTCGGGAGCGATTCTCGATTGTGACCCGGGCAAATTAGGGACGATCGAAGCTGCCGAGGTTAACTCAATTTGGCCCCGAATCTACAATTCAGAACACCAAGAACTCCTGAATCACGCACATTTGCGTCGCCTGCAAGCATAAGATTGCCAAGCTTGACAAAGTTCGTCCTCCTACAAGCTCTCACTTCAATGGGCTCGGCCAATTATCATCAAAACCAGAGAAAACATGCTTGAAAAGTAAGAAACTAAGGATGACAATCAAACTTACGTGGGTTATACAAAACAAAGTTAAAAGTTAACCTACACTGACGTACATAATAACACTTAATGCTAAACACAGAAGGTATCTTAAACAGGGGCTTTTACTATGCCTTCTCTGTTAAAATAAAACACGCTGACTTTTTACCTTTTGAAATATCGTGGAAACAAAATAATCAAACAAACAAATCAATGTCAGCTTTTTCGATGAG